TCCGTGTGTAAGTTCTGTGTTAAATAACACGCCAACAGAACGCGGTGTGGTCGTTTGTCTTTACCACAGGCAAAAGTGTAAAACGCTTCGGTAAATACACCTGGCTGGTAAACTGTGGGATAATTAATGTTGCACCTGCTCTAATTCTTCATGCTGTTGTCTTAGTCTATAGATGTTAATGACTTTGGCCTTAATAGAGATTCGCCTCACAGCAGTGTGCTGCTTTGAGAATCCGAGGGGTAGATTTGATAAACTATATAATTATGTTAGTTTGTTTAAAAGTTTTACAAGAACTTGCTCGAGCAGTTTTGTAGTTTATTATAGAGGGTGTCACTGTATCGTGTACACCTTTAAGGAAAAAATGGGATTCTTGGGTAAGGGCACGGTCACATATCCGCAAATGTGTGGCTCACACAAAGACATGCTGCGACCAGCAGAAGACAAATGTTTTATTCACCTCTTACAAAGATTGGAAGTGAAAGATTCGTGGATGTGTGACCAGGCCTTAAAACTGACATCCCTATTTTCTTATCATTTATTTTCTTTACTGTTGGTGTTCCCTTCCATTTGATTGAGGATAAAACTGACAACATAGCGCAACTGAGAAGTGATCAGGTTTCTAGAAGCAAACACTGACAGCACATGCACTCAGACCAGCAGTATGTGCACACCGTCACTGAGCTGAGCTCCACCGACTAGTTATGGATGAACATAACAAACCAGAGATGAGGTGTCACACTACAAGACATGTTTTGTTTTTTTTTACTTTCTTTAATGGTGCAAGATACTGAGTGTGAGTTTTCTTTTCATTTGTTGATTTGTCAGAGAATAATTTAAATAAATCATGCATGTTGAGGAGACATGGGGACCGTTACTTGCTGGAGGCATGCATTCTTATCTATCTGTATATAGATGTATAGACGATAAGAAGTGCAAGATTGTAGGGATACATATTATGAAGACATTATATCTCTGCAGATTTCAAGAGGCTTAAAGGTCCAGTGTGTAAGATTTAGGTGAAAGGGAACTATTGGCAGAAATTTTATGTAATAATTCTCATGTTTTCACTAGTTCGTTTCATTTAAATTGTATGAATTGTAGTTTTCGTTACTCCAGAAAAGGCCCTTTATATTCATATACTTTATATTTACATCGAGGGGGTCCTCTCTACAGATGCCACCATGTTTATTACATTAGTCCAGACTGGATAAATGAAACACCTTTTGAGTTTTTATGACAATTAAAGGCTCCCACTGTTTCTTTTTTGGAAGGAGAGGGTGAGGTGAGGGGTGTTAAGCTGCAAAATGCAATTTCAACACTAGATATCACAAAATTCTACACACTGTACCTTTAATTCTGACACATTTGATTTCTTGTGCTTTTATTTTGAAGGTTGGTGCTCAGCTGATGGGGGCGTAACAGGAGTGAATAACATCTCTGGCAACTAGTCAGTTGATCAGTTTGACTGACGGAGCCCCTCAGCTGGTAATTATCATGACCTGCCTTCTCAGTGTGGTTCTAACGCTGTGTGTTGTCTTGACACCTTCGGCCTCTGTCGACAGCTGTGGTGAGTAGACTGTGATGAATCACATGTGAGAATTGAACTGCTCTGAACTGTAATGGAACAGAGGCTTATTTTCTTTTTTAACTATATTCTATTGTCCTTTGTGCTTCACAGGTTTGCATCTTCATACACTGTAATGTAACTGTTTGCATACAAGTGGGTCACAACAGTCTGTGTGTGTGTGTAGATGGGTGCCTGCGCTTCGCCTCCTACTATGGAGACCACATGGTGCTGCAGAAGTCTCCAGAGAGAGCTGTTCTGTGGGGGTACGGCCCTGACGGTGGTATTGTCACCGTCTCCTTGTCAGGACCAGTAATTCAGAAAACCTCACCGGTCCCTGTGATAGAAGGTAAATACAGCCAGCTGCTGCCAGATGGGATATGAACCCTGACACCTGCAGGGTAGTGAGGGCAGCAGAGGTCAAATGTTATCAAAGATACAACCTCCTCAGTCCAGCCCCTAAGACAAAAACAAGGCCGTCTTAATTACTTCTGTTATGTCAGTGCAACATAAATATATGTCTTACTAGATGGTTGAAGTTAACTGTATAATATCATCAACTAATAATGTAACCACTTACTTTTGAAAAGTTTTCCCGTGTTTATTGTTCTTCAGTCAAACTCTGCCAGTGGGTACGTGCTGCAGCAGGTACCCGCTGGCAGAGTCCAGCCACCTTTTTTTGTTTGAATAAGTGCAACATATGTGACGTAATATACAGGCGTCTGGCAAGTCACCATGAACCCTGTCGACGCTGGCGGTCCCTACAATGTGACGGCAGCCACAGAGGGCAGCGAGGCCACTCTCACAGATGTGCTGTTTGGAGATGTTTGGCTGTGTGGAGGGCAGAGCAACATGTTCTTTGAAACATATAAGGTAGGCTGAGATGGATGAACACTGTACTGCACACCAAACATAGTGGATTAGTATTTTAATACTTCTTGTTTAGTCCAACACAGTAAATAAAAGAAAGAATGTTCTGTGTGATATTGATGTGTTCACATTTTTTCGTTGTCCAAAAGATTTTCAATGCGTCAGATGAGCTGGCCCTCGCACCAAACTATTCTCAAGTGCGACCTTTTAAGGTGGCCTTCAGTAAGAGTCTAACTGAGCTGAAGGATGTGAAATACGTGAAGCTTCCCTGGACTGTGCCTACAGCTGGTGAGACAAGGATTTATGCATCTATTCATTCATAGGTCATTGTTTAAAGACGTGAATCTAAAGGTTCAACGCAGATAACGATATAAGGTAGTAAACAAGTATTTATATTGATTTAACCATAGACATTTTTTATTGATAATATAAATACAAATAAATGAAAACACACATAAAACCAATTACAGTATGAGTAAGAAAATAAGCACATTATTTCTATGTAAAATGTAAAAAGAAATCTGTTTTGCATCATGATCATCTTCGTAAACATTGAAATTGATCATTATAAACCTTTAAAAAATAATTATAACACATCATACATTAAATACTGACTGGACTACGGCTGTCAAATAAAATAAGCACATGGCGGTTGTAGGGGAGAGGGATAATATTGTGTTTAAAGGAGAAATGACACTGCCTGACGCTGTTTATTATTACCGTTCATTAAGCATTTCACTATTCGCTGTGAAGACACTGCTGAGAATCTGCAACACTGTGCAGCTCAGTCCCTCCTGTACTGCCCAGCGAGAACTGAGAGGATCTGCTGACACGATTTCCAACAGTCTATGTGTTTTTCTGCATTTTTTTTTTATTTTGCAAGGTGAAAGTTTTGGTATCGGCTGACCACTAAATCAGTCAGGCTCTATTACACAGCAACTCAAATCTGAGCTACTCATTTTTTATGGTTACCACATTAGGACAGCATAGACGTATTACTCACTCAAATACCTAGAAATGTGATCATGACCACCTGACCATGATGCTATTTGTTTATGTGTACCACGACGGGCATTCTACTGGTTGATTGATGAAAGTGTACTTTCAGACATTGTGGCTGACTTCTCTGCGCTGTGCTGGCTCTTCGGACATTACATGCATGACATTCTGAAGTACCCCATAGGACTGGTGGAGTCCTGTTGGTCAGGCACGCATATTGAAATGTGGTCATCTGCACGAGCACTGCAGCAGTGTGGATTGACCCAAAGCACAGATGCCATCATGTAAGGATGTAAAGACAACACAGTTCAGCTTATCTTCCCTTTGAAATGCATAGTAACTGTATTTACATAGTGCTTTTGTAGTATTGATGACCACTCAAAGCACCATTCACCCATTCTCACACACATTCATACAGTGCATCTATGTGCAGCACTTTCTCTGTCACACTTTACTCTTACACGGTTCAGTATCATGCCCAAGGACAATTTCCTGGAATGGCATGCAGAATGGGTGAAAGCCTTCTGGTTAGAGGACGACCCACTCGCTGTCCTAAGCCACAGTCACCCCAGTAATTCTGTTCCCTGGAAACTGTGTGTTCTTGTGCGTATTCAGAGAGAAACGCTACCTTGCACAGATTGTAATTTTGCCTGTTTCTACATGTCACATTCTCACAGTCCCAGTATGACAGATTCTGTCTTGTGGAACTCAATGATCCACCCACTGCTCAACATGACCATCAAAGGAGCCATCTGGTACCAAGGTAGAGTAGGACTTCCTGCACAGGTATAACATGTATGTTCATTTTAGCCAAATACACCACATTTATCTGGAATGTTTTCAGGTGAGTCAAATACAGGGCACAACCAGGACGAGTACAACTGTTCCTTCCCTGCTATGATTGATGACTGGAGGATGGCGTTTCACCAGGGCTCAGGGGGCCAGACAGCTGCTGATTTCCCCTTTGGGTTTGTCCAGGTATCTTACTCTGTGTATTGCATCAATAGAAACAAGTACAGATGATTATACAAAAACAAAATATATCACTGATATGGGTTCAGTTTGAGCCAAAGTTTTTGGGGCGCTGTCATGTTGGCCACCTTGATATAAAGTCTATGAAAAACCTACCGTGGTTGAAATTTTTAATCTAAATTGACTTTGTTTTTACACTATCCCCATGTAGACATAAATAGCCTTTGCATGATTACAGAATTGATCCATGATTTCTTCCTGTGTGCAGCTGTCCACTGCCGTAAAGACCTCCGTAAGTGATTCCATCCCAAACATCCGCTGGCACCAGACGGCAGACAGGGGCGTTGTCCCTAATTCACGGATGCCGCGAGTCTTCATGGCCGTGGCTATGGATTTACCTGACGAATTCTCTCCCTATTACACGTAAGGAGGATGTTCAGAAAAAGCATTCAAATTGACTCTTACTATACCTTGTGATTCACGTGTAGCAGATATTAGAAACATGCAGGTATCATTTGTCTTCAGAGGCCTTGATCAACACTAGGTGATAAACCGAGATATACTTTCTAAAAGGTATAAATACATTTAAAATCACTGCTGTGCATTTACTTCAGTTTGAGTCTTGCACGTTAGACTTTTATGTAACACTAACATAAATCGCAGAGGTGTGGTCAGCACTATATTCTACCAATACTGATTTGACCTTATGTCACTTCAGAGTATGTTTATAAAACATGCCGCTTCGAGAGTTTTTAATTGGAGCGAAGAGCTCAGATCAGACCTCTTCAAACCTGTCTACTGTGGCCTCCAGTTATTCTACAGATAGATTTTATGATCCTTATAAACATCTACAAAGTCTTTCATGGACTTGCCCCTGACATGCTGCCAAGACACAGCAAGTCCCTGGCACGAATCTAACATCAACACTTTCCTTATGTACAGAAAAAACTAACAAGGGAACTGCTTTCTGCTTTTGTGTCTATCAAATGGACGCAAATGTGGTGTAACCAGCTTTTCTATTTTGAGGTGAGGAGCTGTTTTTCAATTCATTATTCACTTAATGAACCAGCAGTTACCAGCAAGACTTCTTTCAAACACTCGACATGGAGAACACATCGCTCCCGTCCCAGCCTAACTTGATCACTTTTAAATCACTACATGGTGCCGCTAGGCTTTATATTTCAAGACCTTGAATCCCTTACTATGCTCCTATACTGAGATCAGAGAGTCTAACATTCCCACAATCCATAGAACAAAGGGGGATCATGAAGCAGAATCAGTGCCTCAGTTTAAAACTGTATTTAAATAGCTTAACTTTGTGAAGCAATTCTAACTGAAAGGTGTTACAGATATCAAGTTTAACATTATTTATTATTATTAATTCAATATTTCCTATCTGGTCTTAGACACTGGAATACCAGGAGGTCTGTTTAAATATGATGTATATTTTGTCTCTATTTTTCAGGATCCATCCGCGGTACAAGCGAGATATAGCTTACAGGCTGTCACTGGGTGCAAGGGCAGTGGCTTATAATGAAACAGATGTCCACTTCCTTGGACCTTTCCCCAACCAAACCCTGTGCTCAGGAAGGCATGTGAACATAACTTACGACCAGGCGGTGTCTGTCACAGCATCTAATGAAGTCTTTGAGGTAGGGCAATGGTGGAGTCAGGGTGAATCAAGACTTTTGTCCAACATTAACCCACTAGTGTCATTAGCAAAGGTCCACACAATGTAGCCCAACAGTCCTCTTAAACTCAATCAAGCCTGACAGCCAAGCCAATAAAAATCTTAGATCATGAAATCATTGAGGAAGAATGTGTTTATCATCAAGATCAATTATCTGCTGTGGATTCGATTAAAAAAACAAAACAAATGCACAATGTTAAAGAAAGTGAAAAACTATCGCTGGATCTGTGACAAATGTAATGGGTTCTTTCTTGGCCCATGTTCCATTCGTCCCACAGACCCATATACTGTATTTAGAGATGGAAAGCACACCAAAAGTGAATTGTCTTGATCGCCTCCTAGTGGCTGGCTGCAGTGTAGATCAAACTTAAGACAAAGCACATATTAAATAAAACATTTCTCAAGGACATTTTTGACATTTCAAGTAGTTCTTATCATACTAACGTTTGTCCAAGTGCTTATTTTTCCAGTAAGTTTGTTTTTAATTAGTTACCTGATGCTATAAAACTAACTTAAAATTAAAATTCACTCACTATCTACTCACCACTGTGCCGATGGAGGGGGTGGGTGAAGTGTTTGAGTCCACAAGACAGTTCTGGAGTCTCAGGGGTAAACAGGGTTGCAGCACAATACAATACAACTGAAGTCAATGTAGACCTGCACTTCAGACATAATGAATGTCGGGGCTTGTGGACACTTGGATGACACCACATGAGCAGTGTTGTTTTATTACGTCTGAAGTGTTGGTCACCACTGACTTCAATTGTATTGGACTCTGCTGTAACAGAAGTGTTTTGTGGACTCAAACCGTTCACCCTGCTCTCCATCGGCATAGTGGTGAGTAGATATGGAGTGAATTTTCATTTTTCGGTGAACTATCCCTCTGACCTCTCTCTATTAAATAACCACGGGTTTGTTGCTATTGTTTCTCAAACTAGTGTCTTGCTCAGTAAATTAATATGCCATCTGTGTTTCCTTCTTTTTTTTAAAATAAAGATCTGTTGCTCTGCTCCATGCGGGCCTAAGTCCCTCTGGGTTCCAGCTCCTATCATGGACTGGGGTCCAACCACTGTCCAGTTGTCTGCCAGTTTGTGTCCCCCCACAAAAGAAGCAGATGCTGTTCGATATGCTTGGAGAGATTGGCCCTGTGACTTCAAAGCTTGTCCAATCTACAGCGCCAATGGCGTTTTACCTGGCCCTCCTTTTATTTCCGATTGCTACCAAGGAAGCAATTTGCAAACTATCAATCCCAAAAGATGTAGAAGATGTTAGGTGAAAGGTCAAGTTTGGTTCTTTAAGACAAATTTAGCAGAATTGACAGATGCTGTATCTTTAAACATGCTATACGTCAGCGTGGCAGGACGATGAGAATCATTTTGTGCAGGGCTTTTCGAAGCTTAGAAACTATTGTGGCTATTTAGTAAATAAACTTTTGGTTAGACTGTTCACGCAATCTATGCTGTTAGAACCACTGCCAATAAATGCTGAAGTGTATGAATTCAAACATGACAATTTTGTTTTTATTTTCCCAAAACTCAGACTGAAATAAGCCTCTTTGACTTGCATGGTTTACACAAATAAATGACAAACTAACAGCTATGTTAATGTGTTACATTCAAAGCTACAGCTTTTGTGTGAATAAACCGGAATAACATAAAGAAATGCAACAGAGACAAAAATGTACACTTGCTTTGATTGCAAAACTTTACGTTATCATTAATTTAGATTTTCCTGAGATCCCCAATCAGTAAAATGGTTAATTACTTTTTAAACATAAATTAAACTAGGATTATAAAACCATGTATGTTATGTACAGAGAAAAAAGAATGTAATTTCTACTAAGAGGTGTTGGGATATTACATTAAGCAAAGAACTCATTCACCATCCATTCCCAGTATATCATCATCAACTATATTATATTATCATAAACTTGTGCTAGCACACATCCCCAGTAATGATGTCTGGGGCTCGCGAGAAAGTATTTTAATTTTTAGTTTTCATGATGCTGCCATTTCAAGAATGACTTAACCAGGAAGGTATTGGTGAAAGTGTTGTAAATACAAAAGTAAAGTTCACCATCAGGTAAGACTTCAGTGGCACTACCAGAATCAGGAGCTGAAGTATGAGGTTGAGGGCTTCATGGTGGGGGAAGTCAGGTGGTGCTGATGAGATGAACTAGGAGAGTGCGGCGTCTGTCCTGAGGGAGACAAGATGGATAAATAGAGGAAGAAAAGACAGTGTCAATGGCAAAAATAGAGTTTTAGAGATTTACTCAGCTGCTGTTATCTTTTAATACATTACATGTCAGCTATATTCAGAGATGTGTTACGCAACCAACACATCTTTAGACCCATGTTCACAACTTTTCAAAATAAAAGCTCTGTAATTCAGCTTGATATAAATCTGTACTGCAACAACACAAACGTTGTGTTTTTACTTTGTGCAGACAGATTGCTAAAGAAGAAGCACTTCTATGAATGCTACTGCCATGATGGAGATAAGCGGCAGTTGGAATGTCAGTGTCAGACTGATATGGTTCAATAAAAATAATGATATTGATGTGGTGGGCCAGATATTAATGCTGCCAGCTTTTGGCGGCAGGCTGCAAGGACAGGTTCAAATTGGTCAGCAGACATGCTGTTGGCACACTGCCCCGCCTACACTGACTACCAGGTAATGTTTAATTGAAAGTTTGCTAATAATGAACTAAATCACATCTTATTTCGACACTGCACTTCCCTGGGCCTTGAACAATAGACATGCCAGCTGCGAAGCAGATAAGATCAACTGTTCTTAAGAACTGCGTTCCACATACAGACAGAAGTTTCAGGGATAAGTAGGTAGATGTTGTATTGTTAACAGTGGAGGCTTAGTGAAGCGGTTGTGGTTGGTTGTGATATCGACAGAAAGTCCAGCAGTGCTGAGAGCCTCCCCTTGAGAAGCTTCACTGCTTCACTCAGACGTTTTGACAGCAGCTGTGGACGAACAAGACGGTTTCTCATTTGTTGCCCAGCTGACCTCTAGCCTACCCCCGACTCTGTGTGTCTGATGGATTCACCAGCTTTAATGAATCATTGCCTGTGAAACGTTTGCCTCTGCAGCACAGAGTCAATATTCAAGGTTGTGTAAATAAAACAGTGTACACTACATCCAAGCTCAAAATTGATTTTGGAGAGGTTTTATTAGAGCAACCTGTGATGTGTTCTGTCTTGTTGTTCTCTTCAAAGCACTGGTGTCTCTGGTAGGCCTCAAAGTTGACAGAAGCATCGTCCTCTGATAAGCTGTGAGGGACCTGGCCATCACTGGGGCGAGACACCTCAAAACGAATCCATCTGTGGCTACATAAACAAGATTTAAAAAAGTAAATACAAGATGACCCAGTGCTAAGAAACCATAAATACATTTTGCACAACTGTGTCAGCCTGAAAATGTTACTGTGCCCTGGCTCGTTGATATTATCCAGTTCCCTGTTTTACTGGAAATGATCCATTTGTTTGGTTTCCATATTAGATACAAACATCATTATCTTAATCATCAAATAATAATCAACCAAGTTGAAAAATATGTTTCAGTCTAATATAATTACTGTGACAAGTAATCAGTTCCATGTCAGGCTTGTGTGTAGTTTTATTACAGCTACATGCATATATCAGAGTCATTACAAACTATACATGCTGCCAAAAAATGTGTCTTGAATAACAGCATGATGGAAGCAGTGTTAAATGGACATTGACATTATGAAGACCTTGTACATAATATTTCATTCCACAATCACAGTGATACCACAAGACTTTTTAAGGCATGAAATTAAAAAGAATGGTTTCTTAAGGCTTTTTAAGACCCTGGAGTAGATTGTTGACTCGTGTTAGTAATGAAAACTGACAGCACAGAAGAATTCAGCTTTTACTCATCTTTTCCAACTAAACATACACAAATCTCATTCTTATAAAGTCATAATCTGCACGGCAGAAAGGCTTAAAATATATTTTTGAGTATAGTAATTGATAATCCACTCTTGATAAGCTAAGTGAACTTACTTGGTACATTTGCGTGCTCCAGGACAACTCTGGATGAGATTCTGGATGGTGGGGTGAGAGAAACCAAAGAAGTCTGCTCCTGACGGCACAATGGGCGCCACACACTTGGAACTAGGGGAAGGGCATGGTGAATGAATGGTATTAAAGGTCAGGGCAGTAAAGACCATATTCATTCTTTCAGTCACACATTTTTACATAAAGAAAATATAAAGGGGACTGATTTCTTTAATTGTGCACAACTTGGTGCAACTTGATTGAATTTAAAGGGAATGTACAGAGGTATGTGCTCTATAGAGTGAAATTCTGGTTTCAAACTGACTGTGCTGAAGCTTAAGAGCCAGTAGCCCAAATACCTCTGGCACAGATTGTATGATTGGACATATGGTGGACATTTGCCAGACTGACACCATTGCAGAGAACAAAAAAACTGTGGATGTCTGTTTTATAATTTATGCAGAATAGCCACAATCATTTAAATCCAAGTGTTTGCGGTCAACATCTGTACCTGACAGCAGCGATGGCCTTCAGGAGGTTGGAGTGGCACGTCAGGGCAGAGGAGGCCACAATGGCATTCTGAGGATCTTCTTCAGGCACAATCTCAAACTGGGGAGTCAAAGTTGAAAATGTTTGAAGTGACCCCCACTGTAATGCAGCCATCAGTTTGTGTGACTTAAAGTAATTCACATATTTTCGTTTTCTTTTAATCATACCATGTTAAGTGGACAAAAGTATTATTGTCAAACAGAAGCGACATGACCAGAGCACTAGCAGCTCATGCTAATGCAAACTAAACCAAACCACCACGTAACCATGGTAATTAAAGATTGAAGAGGTACAACTAACCGTGAAATACCATGAAACCAACAACTGTTTTATCCCTTCGCCAATGTAGGAAGTGTTTGATATAAGCAGACCAAATGTTATCATTTTTATAAAAACTTGTATTATATATAATATACAAGGTTCATCAAAATGATGGACATATGGAAAACTGAAGACAATTGCTACTGTGTTCATGTTTGTGTGCATGTATGTGTGTACCTTTGGACCTGTCCCCCCATCCTTGATTTGGCAGGTGTAGAGGCACTGCTGGTCGGCGTTCTTCATGCTGGCAAAGACTCGTGTGCTGCAGAAGCCCACTGGGTAGATGGCACACTCATCATGGAACAACATTCTGTCTGTGATGATCTGGAGGGCAGTCAGATATTAGATTTTTTTTAACCATTAATCTGCATTAACAATAGTCAGTTGAATGACCAACTTCATTTTGGAGGTTTACCATGACTGTTCCATGGTGAAAATAAAGCTAAGACATATCTCAGATACTGACCTCCCCAAGGCTGTAGACCGTTAAACCTCCCAGGACGATGGGGAAGACGGGGCGACCAGATGAGTCCAGAGGGATGGGCTGCACCAGCTTCCGAGACCCGTCCATTAGCTTTCTCTTCTTAGACATCTTCTTTGGCACTGATCAAACATAAGGGGGTAAAATAATCAGAGGTCAACTGTCTAGAAAGCCGAACGCAAACCATTCATATCAAATCTATTAACAGTAATAATCTGCAGTAAAACTTATACTCGAGCACAGCAGACTCACATTCTTCCTTGCCATTCTCCCGCCCCCTCTCTTTCCTTTCCTTCTTGGGTTTTTTAAGAGGACCTTCTTCCCCTGTTGACACCACTGATGCCAGGTTGTGTCCCCCAGACAAGCCTGAAGCCCCTGCAGGTACTGAAGTTAGTGCTACAGCTGGAACAGGTGGAAGAGAGCTTGAGCTGGGTGTGAGCAGAATCTCCCCCTCTGACAATGACTGGTACTGCAACAAGGATTTCATTAAAAACCTGCAAATTAAAATTATACAAATTAGTTGGAGATCTGACTGTCACACAAAGTGTAGAAGATATTGGTAAAGAAATAGCACCATTATAACTCCTCAGCAGATGGCATCACAAAAACAGATCCATCATACAGCATAATAAGAATAACAGACTGATGACAACAACAGGACAATGTGGAATGATTGACACACACCAGATGGACAACAGCATGTTTTTAGAACATTATGGCATCAAAAGCATTGCTGAAACATGTCCACTCGCCTTCGCTCCTCCTTTGCTCTCAGAAACTTCTCTTCTAAGTGGGCAACTTCATCGCAGACAGCTGCATTCTCCTGTGTAAAACAGTTTCATAGCATTGAAAATGTAAGAGCTGCAAATGAAAGCCATCATAGAGAAGCTACAGTTACTAAGCAGAGATTCTTATCAATCAGCATTTAACTCACAAATATCATGGCACGAGCTGCTTTGCGCAGCCTGAGGTACTTAAGCCGGTACTTTTCATTCTGGTTTTTTCGAGAAACTCTCTTCGCCTTGGCCTTGTGCTCGGAGGAACTGGCGGGGGATGGAAAGCCGGCTGCCGAAGCACTTGAGCCAGAGCTGCTCATGGTGTTCTGCTGCGGAGAGCTGAGGAAAGACTGGGCGGTGAAGGCCTGCAGGGCCTGCTGCCGCTCCTCATCCGTCTGCGAGAAGAGAAAGACACAGATCTCTTCATATGTGCTGGGAAGCACCTGAGGCTCGTGCTTATTCTGCCTTCAGGAGGATGAATGAAAATACAGACAAAATACAGACAACAAAAGGAACATGGATGAAGACTGTACTTTTCTAAAAGCTAAATGACAAACAATGAAAGTTACTGAAAACAAAATGTGTATGAGCTATTTAAAATTTACGAAATTATTTCTACTCTGATATATTCTGAAAAGGAAATTATTATCATATATCCACATGATATCAGATTATCAGATTGCCAGATACTATTGAATCTCCAATGCAAAAACATTGTGCCTGTCAATTTTAATGACACTGAAATGCAATTTTCAATATCGATAAATTGTGTTTGTACAGTACATCTATACCGGGCGGTCACGTTTATTCAACTACAGTGCTGAACCTAGGTCTTGTGTGGACAGCAACGCCTCCATATATATCCATGACAAATAGTCTGGCTTATAAGGTCAAATGCATTTCAGCATCACATAACATATTCAGGGTTTGAGTGAAATTAGTATCCCAGTTAACTCACCAGCAGAGCAAAGACTCCATTTCTGTTCTCAATCCTCTTGAATCTCCTGCTTCCCTTTTGTGTCTGAAACATATGTGAGACTGAGGCCATAATGCATGGCGCTGGAAAAGCCCAATATGCCTCCCAATTTAGATTAATTCCATCATGATTAGTTATAGCCAGTTGAAAGGCTTGTGCGTGTGAGCGCAGGGAATCCTTTGCTCTGTTTACAGCAGTGTTCCCCTTTAAAACTGTGAAATAAGGTCAAAGAAGCAGGATGGAAAAAAACATGGAGGCAGAAAAAAAAAAAAAAAAACATCCCTGCCCCCC